CCCCAAAACCCCAAAACCCCAAAACCCCAAAACCCCACAAACTGCAATATATAATTAGTGATATGATTAATTGAAAAAATAAATTGAGATTAATATCTATTCTAGATTGATTCATTTTGATAGATAAGGGCCAGTGAGACTCATAAGTTTTCAAGACTCTTTCTTTCCTCATCATCTTCAAATTCAATCTAATTTTTTTACCCGCCCTCATTGTACTAGGTCTATTCCTGAGCATGGTCTGTATTATTTAATTGATTGTCATCTCCTAGAAGTCTCTCAGCTTTTTCTTCATCGTTCACCAAGAGATCTTTGTAAGCATGAGTAAGTCTGTTGGAATTTCTTGGTGGAAGTGATGCCTCATTTAATGGCTGATTGTACTCATCGTCACTGGAAGAATGGTTTGGATCATCGATCTCTTCCCCAATACCCTTATCTTCCTGGAATTTCTCATCAAACTGCTTTCTGACCACGTTAAGATTAGTATAGAAAGATAAGAACTCTTGCCATCCAATGTTCATCTATTAAGGTTTGATTAAGCAACAGCAATTTTTACCTGATAAATCATTCTAAGCATCATTTCACCCATATCAACAAAGTTATCTCTAGCCAGATCGTAGTCCATCATCATGACTCTCCTGAACTCATTATAGCATTAGTTTGTGAAGTATTCAGCTTCTTCTCTTAACTAGTCTATTTCCTTTGTAGTCTAAATTTAAATTTAGCTATTATGATGCTTACATCAGGGAGAATATACTGATAGGCTTGAGCGGGATCAGTTTTAACTTTTTCAGCGTCAATTTAAAACTCCCTATCTACTCTCCAGGCGAGCACATCTTGCTTCTTAAATAGTTTGGCCTTTTGTTTCATAAGTTGTTCGTATCTGATATCATAGACCTTTTTAGCTTCTTCTCTGAGACATTAAGCTTCTTTAAATGAGGTTGATTCCTCACGATGATACTTGAACCAGCCATTTAACTGAGTGTTTAAGACTTCTCCTGATGATAAAATGAAGTCACCATTTCTCAAGATGATGTTTGCTAGTCTATCATATAGCAATACCACTTGTGGGATTTCAATTGGCTTAAGTAAACTTGAAAATCTTTGTATCTCAGCTCCCACTGCGTAGAACTCATCTGCTAAGTCATGGGATTTACCCTGAATAGTCTTTACTTTCTTAGAGATACTATAATTATTAATACATAACTTTACACTTACTAATTATTGATCTCTTAATAAGTATCATTGAAAGCATCAAGATTATCACAGAATGCCTTTGCCCTCTTTCTGCCATTGATCTCAATCTAACCACCAAGAGTATTGAACTCTGCTAGCTTTCTAGGGCCAGCATCCTATTGAGTGCCTAAAGCCTTAAGCATAAATTAATCAACACTTGGTTCTCTAAGGAAATCGACCAAGAAGTCAGCAGATCTGAGAATTTGAGATTTCAAGACGCAGGTTAGGAATCTGTTGTAATATATACATTTTTTAATCAGTTGCTTTCCAGTTAGCTTTTTCTTTGGGTTAAATCTTGGAAGTGCTGGTACAATAGTCTGGGGATATTTCCTTAACAAGTAATCCCTTAGTGCCTTAAAGTCCTGGTTAGTTCTCTTTACCTTCCATTTGAATGGCAGAGTCAGGATTTCCAGATTGATGTAAGAGTTTGAAATGTACTGCAGCATTGAGTTTTGAATGACTTGGTTGCAACTAAAGCATTATGATAAAAAGATATTTACTTTTAAACCATAGTAATGATATTTTTGTTTCTGTTGAGAATCGTGCCCTCTATCTTATTGGTAGGTCTTCTGACGCTCATCTTCTTTGATATAGACCCCCTACTCATATTGTTCATGTTATTTTCAAAGAAACTTGACATGGTTGATTATCTCCTGCCCTATTATAAAGTAAATTGCCAATATTATATCTACATCAGTTCCCTTATTTTCTTCAAAGCCGTCTTGACTTGGCATTTGACTAGCAATGAATTTCTAGGCCAAAGCTTTAATCTCATCAAGAGAAAAAAAATCTACATTTGGTCCCAAACCTATAAGATACATTAGCATGCTATATTTCTGAGTAAACCGATATTTACCTTTCTCTTTGGCTAATACTGCTAAAAATTCCTCTATCTCATACCCTTGTGATACGACACTTTCATTTATTTATCCTTATTTTGTTAATCTCTCCTTTTGGTATTCAGTGACAAAGGAAAAAGCTCTAGCTCCATGCTTTAATTATTGCTCTTTCACATATTCTCCTTAAATTATTTGCTCTTTGTTCTCATCACTGAGAGCTTCTCTGATAAAGTTCATCATCTTTGTTTTTCTGTTCCTTGTAAAATTATATATCTTTTATTATAATGATATAATCACATTAGATTCATATAAAAAATTAATAATACGGGGTTTTGGGGTTTTGGGGTTTTGGGG